TGTGATTTTCCTATGGGTTGTAAATCCTGCTTCTGTGATGTTAGTGAGGCAGGATTAGAGGCAGTTATGTTAATGAGGCAGGACTCAATTTACAAGATTAGATTGTATCTTGAGTCAATCTATTTTGAGATATAAAAGAGAGAAGTGAGCAGAGAGACATGGGGACCTTATGCCGCCAAGAAGCGAGCCAGAATAATAGCACGTCCTTTGGACCCATGGTCCCTGCGCAGAGAAGTTCCTCCACCGGGGATGATTGATGATGACAAAGACCTTCCCTCAGCACTGACAGAGAGAAAGCCTTCCCTTGGGGCTAGCACCCTGAATTCGGACTTCTAGCCTCTTGACTGTGAGAGAATAAATTTCTCTTTGTTAAAGCCATCCACTTGTGATATTTCTGTTATAGCAGCACTAGATGACTAAGATACCCAGTCATTTTTATGTGTTTTAAAAGTTATCTTTAATGTGTTAGTTTTCAAAAATTGAATTCATCAGTTATACCTTGCACATGAGATATGAGTCCTGCCTTCAAAGATGTTACCAGTCTGGTTAAAATCACTGTGACTACTATCTCTGAACAAAAGATCTGGGGTAGGGAAAAAGAAAGGGAAACTTTAACTATGTACGTTCCTATGCTGTGTGCCTTTTTGTTTGTTACAATGAGCAAATCTTATTTTTATAATTTAAAAAAACTAATAAATTTTGACTTAAAAAATTTAGTGACTTGTAGAGGGAGTGACGTGATTGATGCCCTTTGACAGAGACTTAGGCTGAAGCAGATGAAGGTACTGGAATGTACGGAACAGTTATTCTTGATAACTTGGCTTCAGGAGTCTGTGAATCCAAATTATACGTAAAGCTATGTGCTGCCTTGTATTTTTCAGGAAAGATGTCTATAGCTTTCATCAGATTCTTAAAAATACACTAGACTAAAGTTTAAGAACTATTACCCCAGAGTGAAATTCTTTTAGAACCTGAATAACCTAACTCTCTTTATATGGGTTAAAGACCTGCCCACATCACAAATAGTGCTTTAGAGGCAATGTTTTTAGTAAATTCTAATGTCTATTCTGGTAGTTGAAGGTGAAATCTCTTTTTGTGGAATCTCACTGACCTGATTTCTTTTTTTTCCTTTTCTATTTGAAGGTTTCTTGTTCTTCTCAAGGTCTGAAAGTTTGGGTCCAGAATACTTCCTATTTATGTAGTCGGGCCGGGCAGGTCCTTCCTGTCAGTATTCAGATGAATGGCTGGATTCACGGTGGAAATCTCCTCTGCCCATCGTGTTGGGACTTCTGTGAGCTCTGTCCTCCAGAAACAGACCCTCCAGTTTCTAACCTGACCCGAGCTCTACCACTGGGTGAGTAGTCTCTGCCGTTGGATTAAAGAGGGAAAAAGCAAGATGTTGAAAATTCTCTTCAAGGGGGCTCTAAAACAGGTTGGGCTTCTTTTAGTCTAGTTGCAGTTTTACATAAAAATTCTTCCTTCCCACTAATATTAGAAATCTAAGGTAGATGAACTTGACGCCTCTGTTCAGTAAGGGCCAAGTTGGGGAACCTTTCTGTGTGAAGAACCCCTGACTCGTACAAAAAATTTGTTGAAGGTCATCTCTTCATTTTTAAATCAAGAGTAGAGAAAACAAAATTCTGCTCATTAAATACAAAAAGCAATTAAACATATTCTATTCATGTTATAACCAGGTGAAAGAGAGGGAAGATACTCAAAAAGATTGACACACCACAAAAAAGAGAAAGGTGCAAGGAGACAGAAATACACACAATGAGATGGAAAGACATAAGCTGGCAAAGAGAAGGTGGTTTTCATTGAGAGATATTATACTCATTCTGTGAGACTCCAGAAAGTAGTACTGGAATCAAGAATTTGTAGCGTAGGGAGACAGATTCTAGTTCCGTCCTTTAGAACCAGGAGGGGAAAGGAAAGACTGACTTGAGAGGAATGTGTTTCCCGATTACTGAAGATGTTCAGACTGAGGCTGATGACCCCATTGCTAGGAATTATAAAAGTAGAAATCATAAATTCTCAACTAAGGCTTTGGTTTAAATGACCTCTAAGATTTTATGGCAATATGACCTTTTAGAATGTTAATAATAAATACCTTATGGAATGTTTTATTTTCTCAACCGGAAGTATTCTTTTAATGGAAATATATAACCCTTTGCCTGTTTCATAGTTTGGTTGAAAATAGAGGGCTACAATCAGTTTACAACTCAAAGTTTCTCCACCTCTTAAGAGTCTGATTTTATTTCCTTTCTTTCCCAAATTCTTTATCTAGATATAAGCTATAATTGGAGGGTGAGTTTAGGGAGATTAGTACTTGGGTCGGGGGTCTCCAAGACTGCTCCTAGGTTTGATAGTTCTCTAGAAGGACTTACAGGACTCAGCATATAATCGTTCTCATAGCTAACATTTATTACAGCAAAAAGGACACGAAGCACAGTCAGCCAAGAGGAAAGGCGTGTGAGCTAAGTCTGAAGGAAACCAGTTCCCAGACACCAGCCAAGGGCCAGCCTTGCAAGCAGGCCTTTCTCAGGATAGTGGTTTCAGGCCTGCTCTGCTAACTCTTTTCTGCACAGTACTCCAGTGAATCAGCGGCGTTCTCTGCTCTTACAATAGTAATGACATATGAATGGAAGGTCCTTTTGATGTGGTGCACAACACGTGTTTCAATACACGGATAGTGTTAAATGTGCTCTGTGAACTTTTACTTAATGTAAAGCTGATGGGGTGACAATTTGTTGTTTTGGCTAGAATTCGAGGGCTGGTGGTCCATAAATGGTAGTTCTGATTGAGCTGCCATTCTCAGACCTAACCCCAGAGTTAACTACAGGACACTCTTGCCATGTTATTGTCAAAGAGATCAGCAGGCGCTGAGACGGTTAGCAGTTAGAGTTAAGGATAAAGGAGAGCTACCTCCAGCTGGGGCAGGGGTAGGAATCTTAGGAGAGTATGCGTAGAAGAATGTGTATAATGAGAAAGCCAGATGAGGTCGAGGGCCTATGAAATGATGAAGTTCCTGTCCTTCAGCCACGACCAAGACAAGTGAATCTGTTGAACAGAGGTGTGGGGGGTGGGGAGGTAGAGATTGCAAACTACCCCCTCCACGTCCATCAGCTGGTGCCTTACATTCTGCTTATCCTGCCCCTTCTTTATCAAACAGTTTATTATTTATACTGTTGTAGGATCAGTTTATTATTCTGAGACTATGATACCATGAAGTGATGTCCTTTCCTGTGGCACCAGTTCTATGATGGCACGTGCTCAAAAAAGCATTGTAACCTCCAAATAACTAACACAATTGTGAAAAATGTGTAAAATACTACAAGGATAGATACCTTTTAGACATTGTTTTTTAAAACTTCATAAGCATCACTGTTGAAATTATAAAATATCCTTACTTCCCATTTTGTTAGCGTGCGTGAATAAATCACACATGGAGCCTTTACCGTAAGCTGTGTGCCAGGGACGAGGCCAAACTTTTACACGGACTATTTCTTTTAAGTAAATAGTTTGTTTCTTTTTAATACACTATTTATGACCCACCAAACTTGTAAAAATAATATTTGGTACTTTAAATAATTAGAATTACTCTACAGTAAAGCTTATTAATCAAATGATCATCTCTAATCTGTCTTATGAGTTAAAGTATGTTTTGGGTATTTAAATGTGCCTTGAAAGCATTAAAACTACCAATATTCTGGAGGAGGTATAAAAAGATATTCCTGTTCCCAAACTTTTCTGAAATTTTTCCCCTCAGGTGGTTAGTCCTCATAGCCTCTTCTAACATTTGCAGTTTCTTTTAGAATGTGAAACTGTCATCTTTTCTCCTCCTTTTTCTCTATTCATCACTTCTAAATGTTTGAGTGTGGTTAGATAGCTGTTTTATATTGCCCAAAACATTTTCCATTAGTGAATATGATAGATTTGTTCCCAAATTCTTTCTGGTTTCTTCAAATTGTGGGAGTTGTTTTTGCTTCCATTTATTGAGTACTAGACACTTTGCCAAGTGCTTTATATATATCATTGCATTTAATCATCACAAACCCTAATGAGATAGGAATTATCATCATCATTTTACATGTGAGAAGACTAAGGTGTAGAGAGGTTAAGGAATATATCCACAGTCACAACTAATAAATAATTCTATTCAGATCCAAAGCCAGGTCTGATTAACTCCAGTTCATTTTGAAACACCCGCATTGAATTTTTTTTTTTTCTTTTTGAACAGTACTATTACAGAAGGTACAGTGTTTTTTGAAGGTTAAAAAATGTTCTAGAGCTGCCATTAATGTTTTGATAGTTTGTGAAATTTTAGTACCAAGAGTGAATAAACAACAGCTAGTTCTCTTGCCTATTTCCTTTGAGCCAAATTAAGAATCAGGAGCTAAAGGGATATGCCTCTGTATTAGTGACTCCGGGGTCCATTCCTTACTCCAAACAAGGCCATTCACTCTACCTAATGTTCTAGGCCAGAGCCTGTCCAGTAGAACCTGGAAATGTTCTATAATCTGCACTGTCTAATATGGTAGTCATTAGCAACATGTAACAATTGAACATGTGAAATATGGCTAGTGTGACTAAGGAACTAAATTTTTAATTTTAATTTGTTTTTAATTTAAATAGCCAAGTATAGTGATTACCACATTGAACAGCCCAGCTCCAGGTCAGAGGTCCTCAAACTTCTGCATGCATTAGCATCACGTTCAAGTACGGATTGTTGGGCCCCACCCCTCGAGTTTCTGTTTCAGAAGATCTGAGTTGGAGCCTGAGAATTTGCCTTTTAAATAAGTTCCCAGGTGATTGCTGATGCGTTAGTTCACTAACCATACTTTGAAAAGCACTGGTCTAGGCTAAGTAGGCATTTTCTAGGACTTAACAAATGCCAGCTAGTTCCACTGGGGAGTAATAGAAGTTCCTCATGGGTTACCTGGATTGCATGCAGTGAAATAATTTTTTTAAAATACTCATTCCACACTGTGTAGTGCTCAGAAGAACAGCCTCCATTGCCTTGACATTATCATTTTATTCATTCTGTAGCTGAAGACCGCCCGTTTTTCTTACCTTTAAGCTTGTCAGACGTGGAACTTGGTTGGTTCTCTAGAGGCCCATCTTTATTGTTCAAAAGATTAAAAAGGACAACTCATCCATGAATAAGTCAAGTTGGCCTGGTCTCCCGACTGCTATAAAAATGTTTTCTATTATGAGAATTGTTTCGGAAAACAGACTTAGCCATGAGAACAGGTATCATTAAAAAATACCCCTAGTATCCAAAGCTGTTTCAGAATCAAGTCTTGGGTAATTAATATGGATAGATGAATTGTTGTTAGCTGCTGTTGAGTTGACTCCAAATCATGGCGACCTTATGTACAACAGAATGAAACATTGTCCAGTCCTCCATTGTCCTCACAGTTGCCAGCATGTTCTAGTTCATCATTGTGGCTGTTGTGCTAATCCATCACACTGAGGGTCTCCCTGGCCCTTACTGGCCATCTACATGATGTTCTTTTCTCTCCTGATGACATGTCCAAAAGCAAGCAAGTCGGACAGTGTTCTGTTGTGATCCATAAGGTTTTCACTGGCTAATTTTCAGAAGTAGGTTGCCAGGTCTTTCTTCCTAGTCTGTCTCAGTCTGGAAGCTCTGCTGAAACCTGTCCACCATGAGTGACCCTGCTGGTATCTGAAATACCGGTGGCATAGCTTCCAGCACACAACCGCATAGTATGACAAAGTGATAGACAGACGGTGGGATAGATGGATAGATTTGCAGAAAGAGAGGGCCATATGCCCTGGTTTGCGTGGAACAGTCCATGTGTCTGTTGTCCTGGTGCAGTTATTAATAGCACTCTCTTTTATTCTCAAAATGCCCCGGTTTAGGGTGATAAACTATATGGCCACTCTATCTAGAAGGGACAAGAAAGACTAGAAGAAGAGAGTCCTGCATCCCATCTCAGAATAGCCAGGATATCTGTTCACTCTTCTATGCGACATCTTTAGCTTTGGTAGGATACTACCCCAGTCCTTATCTCAGGTGCCTTTTTTTTAACCTTGTTATGGTAGATATATATTTTGTTTCTTTTTCCATAAATATTTTATATCTGTAAATTAAAAAAAAAAAACTTTGTGTATATGGGTTTCAGAAAGTTGGTCTTGGTTCTGCTCTCCAAGGTGGTCCTTGTTTACCTTTTAATAATCCCCTGTACTCATCTGTCAGTATTTAGTTGCTATGATCTATTCCAAAAATGTCTATAGAAAGTCAATTTTTTGTTTTCAACCCTAGATCTCTGCTCCCGTTCCTCCAGCCTGATGGTCACCCTCTGGCTCCTGCTAGCCAATCTATTCCCTCTGCTGGCTGGATTTCTTTTGTGTGTGTGGCACTAGGAATGGAGAAGTGAACTCTCAAGACATTCCTTTGTGTCTGTTCCTCTGAGCAAAGCACAGAATCCCGGCAGGTGCCAGCCCATGCAGATGGCAGAAGTGGCATTCCTGATGTTGGCTTGGAAGTGTTGACCACGGCCAGAGCTTGAAGCAGAGCTTCACAGCCGTCACTCCTCATCAACAGCCCAATAGTCTCAGAGTTTGGAGAAGTAGAAGAAATTCTTTTTATTTTTTTATTTTAATAGTCTTTTTTATTTTTCAAGATACATGATTTTCCTGAAGTTTTCCTTTGAAAATGGGATAATTGGTGAAATTTTCAGACTGATTACATACTTCAGCATTTTCATTAACCTAAAATGATGGGAAAGTTCATCATCAATACTGATAACCCTAAATAACAGCTAATTATTGCAACATTACTACTTATGGATCCTGCCCTCAGAAGTACCAATCATCCTTTGATTTACAGAAAATAATTGAATTGGGATTTCTAATCACTGTCATGCCTTTTGGAGCCCTGGTGGTGCAAAAGTTAAGAGCTTGGCTGCAAACCAAAAGGTCAGCCGTTCGAATCCATCAGCCGCTCCTTGGAAACCCTATGGGTCAGTTCTACTCTTTCCTGTAGGGTCACTATGAGTCAGAATCGACTCGAGGGCAGTGGGTTTGGTTTGGCGTTTTTGGTATCATTCCTTTTAATGTCTGTATACGTGGTACACTTAAATTGTTCTTGTTCTAAAGAGTTTTTTTCAATTTTTTTTTGCTAACCATTATGATTTAACCATGCTTGCCTTTTTCAAACCAGTTGTATGGCAGTTTTAGTACTGAACCATCAGAAGTGTATTGGTAGCCCTCTTCCAGCAGTATCTGTACTAATTGGTCTTCAGAGCTCAGCTTCCAATTGTATTCTCCATTAGTTTAATAATGACCTGAAAAAATGTGGAAACAGAGAGAGAAAAAATCTGCCCTGTAAAAACACAGAAGACACGTAAACAGAAGAAAACATCATTGTATTTTTTTCAAGTAACAGTTATGATAACTGTAACCAAACAGAAACAAAGCTATTCCTTTTTGACCAATGATGAGATAAGAGAAATTCTAGTATAGACAGGTATGCATTTATTTTCAAGTCAGTTAAGTTACTGTTACAGAAGAATTTCTAATATAATCTGAAATTTTTTTATGGAGAAGAGGAAGACTATAAGTCAAAACTAGATGGTCTGGAATGTTTACTAATAGCAAAGTGTAGGTTTGGTGTAGTGCTTGTACAAGAGGATCCACTTTATGGCATAAAATATGACTCAGTCTATGGAAGTTGGAAATTACCTTTGCTTTTAACGTCCTTTACATCTTGTGTTTTATACTCCTCCTTTTGTCTCATAGATTCTGCTCCCCAGAAGCAATTCTGCTCTGGTACCAGAGATTACCAACTCTGCTAGTAATTCCAATTTCAAAGTCTTTAATGATGGCCAATGCCCAGTTTTTCCTGTCTAATCAAGTCCTGTGGCATTATAAACACAACCCTCAGGCAAGCATCCATCCCTCCCTCTCTCCCTCCCTCCCTCCATCCATCCATCCATCCCTCCCTCCCTCCTTCCATTCTTTTTCTCACTGGTTGGCCCTTTAATCAACATCAATTACTGAGCACTTCACTTAAGAAATTGTGCTGAATGAGCAAGCTACATAATTCCTAAGGAGTAATTCCAACGGACTATTTGGCATAAGAGCCAAACAGCAACCCCAGCATAAAGGAAAGTCACTTCTTTTCAAATATATAAATTTTAAAAGGCATATTTGCATGCAGTTTTAAATTGGAGGTACTTGTCATTGTAGAAAGCTGGGGTTCTCTAACATAGCCAACTTCAGCAAAAGAGAAGTGCATTGTAATGATGTGCACACCAGTGCTTGGTTTTCTGCCTATGGCATGCATACATTAAATGGTGCAAGGTCAGAAAAAAGCATAGAATATATTTTGAAAGAAATGTATACTAATATAAACTTATATGCATATTGTGATTAGGAATCATTCTTCAAAGTTATAGAAAGAATTTCACCAAAAATGCTATGGATTAGAAATACATTTGAGATTCACAGTGATAGATTTGATTATCTTTTGACTGTTGTGCAGTAATGCCACTTAGGTGGTATTGTTTCCAAGCATGGTGCTTTTTATACTTGAAAGATACTTTTTCGCTTTATTTTTTATTGATACAATTATATTTGCACTAATGACTTTCTGGAGAAAATACTATAGATGACATTTTTTCTATATATATTTATTACGCTTGGAATCTGGTCGTCCAGTGTTTTATTTGCACAAAGATGAAACTTGATGAAGTTTTATCAAGAAATCTTCAGTTCCTGAGAGTAATTAGCTGCATTGGTGTCTTCCTTCCTTTTCAGTAAGACTTGAAAAGTTGCTTATCACTGATTCTGCTTTGTGTACTCAGTGAAGACTTAGAAGGCCACTGAACCTGTAAGAAGTTTTAAAGATGCAAGTCTTGGTCACTTAGAATATGACAGTGAAGCAAAGACAAAGAATGGCTTTTAAAACCTTGAGATTTCAAGGCTAGAATTCAGCTGCAAAGTGCAGAATTTGAAATGGCTTAAGTATTGTTATCCTGTGGCGGGCTGTGCCCTTCGCGTTAGCGAGGTCAGAACCAGTTCACTATGAAAGAGACTGAGCAGGCTGTAGCCATGGTGGAAGCAAGGGACCAGGGAAGAGGAGTGGAGAGCAGCTGAGTTAGGGACCGTAGACTGGAGTCCCTTTCTGATGCAAAAAGGGTCAGTGCTTAAAAAAATGACTACCTCGGGTTTTCAGTTCAGACTTAGGTTCCTTTTGATCGAATTAAGGTTTAACAGTTGTCAGAAATATCGAATGAAGTTGTCTCAGGTTTTCAAGAACAGAATTTACAGGAAGGAAACAAAAGCCATGTCAGTAGGCTTGAACTGACAGCTTTAAAGAAACTGCCAAGCAGTTAGGTAGTCTTAATGTAGATCCCTCTGATATTCTCCCGAAAAGCATCCTTTTTACTCTTAAAAATAAGTAACCCTTACATTTTTCCTATTGGATACCTATTTTTGTTAAGACCAGTGAAAATGTTATAAATGATGCTTAGAATTAGTTTTCAGCCTAATATGTTGGCTTAGACTTTATCAGTGTTTGAAGTTGAAATATAAATTTATGAGGCTTAAATAGTTTTAGAAAGATACATAAATAAGTATATCAGAATATTTCATAAAAAGGTATCATCATTATCTCCATTGTTAGAAGACTCATTGAGGCCCAGAAGGCTCCAGTTCCTTCTTTGTAAACTGATGAGGTGGTTTCTCAGAATCCTTCCGGCTCTAACATTCTGTGCCTAATACTCATCCAGAGTGCCGGCGCTGGCCGGATTCAGCTCCTGCAGTATGCCAGCCTGCACGTCCTGTTCATCACAGCGTCCTGGGTGCCGTCTATGTCCTTGGACACTGAATGGGGAGAGAAGAGCCATATCTGAGGGCAGTGGACTAGGCCTGGCAAGAGAAGGTGGACTTCAGTCACAGACCCATTTCACAGTGGGCACCAGTCATTCGTGCCATGTCCTTGTAGCCCAGCAGGATAACGTCGTTGCTACTCATTCTGAAGTAAGAACTTACCTGAAAGGAAGACTGTTTCTGTTTTTTTTTTTTTAAGTTTATACATTGGGTCAGGTTGGGGAGAGAGGGGTGAATTATTTTCTTTTGTGTTTACATTTTTAAAAAACAAAATAGAAGATTTGAAGTCTAACCTTTATTTATGGTATTGAACTTTAAGTGTAATATATTCCTTAGAAAAACCCAACTTTAATAAAAACGGAAACTAATTCTGCATCTTGTCTTTACTTCAGCCCCATCAATTTTTAAAAATCTGGATGAGGAGTGCAAACACAGCCTTGCTCACCGTTTGGGGAGTGATGAGGTGTTTATTATAACATAAGTCAGAATTTTTTAACCTGAGTAAAATTACCCTACTATAAAAATGGGGACAGGGCTTATGTGAAGCTGCAGAGGGTAGCCCTCCTCAAATTAAGCGGGAAAGGTAGCAGGCTACAGCGACTCGGGGCAGCGCGGCTCTGGCGGAAGATCACTGCAGTTCCTTCCGTTCTCTCCTGCAGGCGGGGTCTCACCGCACGACCACTCTGACAGTCAAGTGCCACGTTTGCACAGTGGTGTGAGATACATTGTGGCTGTAGTCATAGAGCGTGCTGCTCCCTCATAACCCGGATGCAAGATGAGAGGAAGCACCCAGAGGTGTGCCTCTGACGTGCAGTTGGTGTCTTTCTGCACTGTGATGGCGGGCCAAGCACTTGGTGAAATTGATGGAACATAGCCTGCGTGACCTAACTGCTGAGCTGACATCTTTGTGGGAATTTTTTCTATTAATAATTAGATTTTTAAAGTTTTAAATGTTTCATATAAGTAGCTAAAACTGTATACAGTAAATTACTTCAAGTAGTTGAATAAATCCAGTATTGTGCAGTGTACTGAAGATAAAGCTGTCTACATTTTATATATTAACTTGTTTACACTACCTTTTGGTATGTATGACTATACTTATTTAGGGGGTATTATCACTTTAATTAAGGAGCCCTGGTGGCACAGTGGTTAAGTGCTTGGCTGCTAATCGAAAGGTTGGTAGTTCAAACCCACCAGCCGCTCTGCGGGAGAAAAGACCAGGCAGTCTGCTTCTATAAAGGTTACAGCCTCAGAAACCCTATGGGACAATTCTGCTCTGTCCTATAGGATCGCTATGAGTCGAAATCGACTTGACAGCACATAATAGCATCACATAAATTAGTCTTTTGTCCACAACCTCTCCAGTAGATTTGCTGAAATATAGAGAGGTTTACTGAAAAAAAAAAAACATTTTGATAGTGTATCATCAGAAGTTCATTTTTTAATGTTCAAAATAAATTGGACAGTGCGATAGTAGTCGAAATACGTGATCTGATGTTCTGTCGGATGACCAATAGTTTTCCCATCTTACATGTATAGAAATGTTTTTCCTGCCTATGTTGTCGTTAGGTGCGGTCAAGTCAGTTCCGACTTACAGCCACCCTGTGTACAACAGAACGAAACACTGCCCAGTCCTTCCAATCGTTTTTATGCTTGAGCCCGTTGTTGCAGCCGCTGTGTCAGTCCATCTCATTGAAGGTCTTCCTCTTTGCTGACCTCTACTTTTTCCACACGTGATGTCCTTTTCCTGGGACTAGTCCCTCCTGATAACATATCCAACGTACATGAGACTAAGTCTTGCCATCCTTGCTTCTAAGAGCATTCTGTCTACACTTCTTCCAA